TTGTAAAATAGATTTTTTTCTGTTTTGACAATTGAGCAAAATAAAAGATTAGAAAATCATTATGGAAGATCACAACAAATTAACTTTATTTCATTAGTTTTTTTGTGATAGAATATTTCTTATTGAATTTGGCAGGTCTATCCCTTTTAGTAGCTAAAAAAAATCAGGTTTGTCATGGATTGCTGTGAAGATGTACTACAGTATATTTGCCACACACTGTATTCTCTTCTCTCTTTTGGTCTTTCACCACACTTTCATGCAGTCCTAATCAAAGTAAATGTCCGCTTCTGGGTTTCTGTGGGGTCTGGCTCAAAGGTGTGCACTCTGCCGGTGGAGGCTGGTAGATCAGCTAGGGAGAGGCTCAAGGGAAGCAAGCTCAGGTGCGTCTGGAGCCTGGAATCACTCAGCCCTCCGCCACAAGTGGTTCTGCTTTCAAAGTGCCCTGACAGCAGGGCTCTGTTTTTCATCAGATCCACCTTTGATACAGTACATTTCTATTTGTATGAACGTTAAATATACCAATGCAGATCGTGCAGTACTCAGTACACTATATAGAAGGTTCCTAGAGTATTGACAGCCTAGTGCTATGGGAGCTGAGGAGCAGTGTGGACTTTAATCGAAAACATAGTTGGCCTCCTGTCTTTTAAGCATATAGATCAAGGACTGATGACATCTGGAGGAAATGAGTGGCAATATCTTGAAAACTTTGGTACTTAAGAAAAAATAAAAGGCAAAGAGAGCTGTGTAGAGATCAATTGTTAAATACTTTTTAATATTCTAATTATACCATACATTTCTTTCAAAAGTGAGACTTGAGATCAACTGACACATTCAGATTTTTTAAATCTATAAAATTAAAATTTAAATCCTCTCCAGTGACACCCCTAATAATATAAGTCATTTAAATTGCATCTCACATAGCTTCTTTTCAATGATGAATACTTGCAGAAAATGGTTTAGGAAATGCAGTTTGTTCTTTTGAATCTTTATCGTTGACAAAGAGAATTTTGTCTATGCATTTCTGATGTGGCCGTAACCATGTTAGTGAGACATAAAAAAAACAGTTTAAAGCCACATTTCCAGAACTAAGCAAGCAGCATTGAAACTGAAATTATGAAAAGCAATCTGAACCCCTTTAAAACATATTGCTTTAATTGCCATTCTGAACTGTAATACTTATTTCAAAGTGTGTTTAAATTTCTGTGGGAACGTGGTATGGTGGAAATTTTGGGATGTTGTTATAGAAAAAAATCAAAGTCCTTACTGACACTCTAGATTATACGTTAAAGTACATCATAATTATCCCATAATATTGTGAGACATATATATTAAAAGCAGTACCTGAATTGCGTTAACAGACCAAAAATCAGATCTGTCAGAAAATAAACAATTCGGTGGTAATTTAGGCTAGCTTTATATTTCATTTAAAACCATGAGCAGAGTGAGTGACAGGACTGTGGCTGCTCACCGTCATGGAAACTGTGCTGAGGTCATGGTTCTTCTCACTTGTACAGTATGTTGACTCATAAAAATAAGAAACAGAATAAAGGGGGAGTTAAGCATGGGATGAATATACTACAACATATAATCTCATTATGTTTTGAAGCCCATGTGTTTAGAGGAATGCCTAGCTGAGAAACTTTCTGTGTTCCTTTCTTACAGAAGGAAATGGGGTTGGAGGGCAGCATAATATGCATATTCCTGGCTCTGCCCTGACATTTAGAGTTTCAAAAGCCCTGCTATAGCCCTGCCACACATCTGGGCAAGTGGAGAAATCCACCAAGACCCATAAATAAGATGTGTGCATTCTTTACTCATGGAAGGACAGCATCCCTTGAAGTCTGCTTTCAAAGAGCATCAGACAGTCAGCTGCACCACCACTGCTTTTCTCTCCTCCCCTTTTGTGTGGAGGCTGATGCTCAGTAATGCTTCTGAAAAAAAATAAAAATAAGGGGAAACATCTTTGTTAGTGTTAGTGTTATTTCTCTTTTAATATTTCTTGCATTTAATAGTTGGAACAGGTTGGATCCTGAGTGATGTTATCTCCCTACGCACTCTGACTTTCTCTGGGTTTCCAAGTCATCGGAGACCACGCTGGCTGTTCTGTTGCTCCACGGCTGTGGAATGATCTCATATTAGATCTTACATATCCATCAGCACTTGAATCATTTCATAAGACTCACTTTTAGGTCCAACATGGACTATGTCACTAGCCAACTGTGACTGGATTTCCCCAATTCTGAATACCACTGAAGGTGAGGTGCTATTAGTTGGCTAGGGCTCAGAGCTGTCGGCAACACAGTGACACTTATGGCACCCTGGACTCTTGCAGGCCTGTGGTGCTGTGGATGAGGGACGCACCTCTCCTCCAGGCAGTGCTAAACCTCCTGCATGGGGCTGCGTAGCCTGTGAAATATTGAATAAGGATTTTTTTTTTTTTTACAGGTGAACAGGTCAGAGGAATCTACATACACTTTCACCCCCTCATTTAAATTTTAATGTGACCTAAGATGCTTTGTCGTAGAATGCACTGTATTTCATATATTATTATTATTGTTGTTATTCATTCCCCCCCTGAACTTCAAGTAAAGCATTAATATGTTTATGCTAGAATAATAAGCTTGAGAAAATATTGAATTGTTTCCGTACTGTACTAATTTGGTCAAATGGTACCAGAATGGGCAGGAATGCAAAATTTGTTTTAGCTAATTGGAATCATTCATTTGAGGGTAGATTTGCTTATTTTGAATATTTTCAAAATATATTCTCCTATCATGGTACTTATAAATCTGACATTTTATACTTTTACATTTTGTACAGGTAAAGGGTTAAGACAGCCTCATTTTTAGATTGTTATGAGATTACTTGATCTGGGTCTTTTCAGTGAAACACTGATGAAAATCCTCTAACGCTTTTACTCAGTATCTGTAATTAGCATCATTTTTTCCACTTGGCCACAAATACTGTTGAAGTTATTAAATAAACAACTAAGGAATTTTAGTTATGGAAACATAATTATTCTTAAATTATTTCCAGATTTTTAAAACTTGATTTGATATGATTCATTTTTCCAGATTTCTTAAACTGTTAGATATGATTTACATATACAACTCAACCTGAACTAGAACTGACATTTTCATAGCATGAAATGGGTTATTGGTTATAATGCAATGCCAGGAGTATTTTCAGAAGCTTGCTGTTGGCTGTGTTTAATGGGTTGTATTACATTTATTTCTTCTTGAGTCTTTGTGGCACATAAGGCAGACAGTTCTTTCCACACTGCTCTGTCGGTTGTTAGTGTTTTCACTTTACCCAGTGTGATTCTCAACACTTCCAAGTTATTGTTAATCACTTACCTCTGTGTGATGTGAGGCCATGTCTTATTTTATAGAGTGGCATTCAAATTAGAATTCTTATATTCTGAATAAATGGCCCAAATACAGTATCTCTGCCTCTTCAGTTGGAAGATGGTATTCACCAGCAGTACTATGTTGTACTATGACATTGTTCATTTCACCATCTGATCTTCACAGTTTGTTGAAGGCTTCTAGGGTCAAACTCATCTAATTTATCAGAATGGATTTTATAATTACTTGTGTCTTAACACCAAGCAGATATTTTGGGACTGCATCATACCGTTCTACATTTTGCACAGTCTATTCATGCCAGTAGCTATCTTCCATGTTGAAGATAGCATTCCTTCATTATTTAAGTAATTTCAATAAATGTTATAATTCATAAAGAACTCAGAGAAGATGAACAAGGCTTCTAACTCCTTTCAATTGTTAATCAGACAGTGTCATTAATAATATACCAATGTGCGCATAGTTTTCATTTTATACCAAACAGGGTACCCAGTACTGCAGTCCAGTACCCAGTCAAGCAGTAAAGCAAGTGATCTGTCTAATGTAGGAGCACTGGGAAATTTCGCTCAAGAACTTCAAGAATGCATAATAAATTATTTTAATAAAAATGATGTAAATCTTTTTTACTCATGTTTTTTTGTTGATATGGGGGATATAATTTTTAATATAGTTTAAAGGTATTTTAATGACATTTTTTATGTTGCAAAACCTGAATTAAAGCGCTCTCATGGATATTGAATGATTTATTGTTTATGTCTACTATGGTTGTATCGATTCACCTTACACATACACAGACAAGTGCTTGCTGAACTCCCTCTATCAAGTAATATGACACAGGGACCTTGCCTTGGGTTGTTATGACCCTATATGTCCCTCCTGGCACAGGCATTATTAATGACAAATTCCATTTCTGTCCAAGCCAAATCTGGGCAGGTGGAAACACTAATTCAGACACAAATGCCTTTTGAATACTGTAAATCAGACTTGTCTGGATTATTACTTCTTCTGGAATCTCTTAAAAACAATAGCTGGTCATAAAAGCCCAGCTTTGAAAAATCCATTACTTAGGAAATAGCACAAGAGAAGCCTACTGTGATGCAGAAATCAGACAACTAGATAGACTCTCAGACCAATAAAAACCACAACAGGAGGCCCTGGTGAAACTACATATGGCGCACATTCCCACAGTACGCAATGTGCTCTCTTACTCTTAGTGTCATTTTATGTCTACCTATTTTATTGGATGTTTTTAAAATAGCAGGCCATTGTTTTTAAAAACTCAAGCTGTGTCTTACATTTATAACTTGAGAAACAGTCCTGTTCACCTGCAATGTATCCTGTACAATGGGAATTTTTTATATGAAAAAAACATACTTGGCATATGTTTGAGTGAATCAAGACGTTACATCATAAACTGCACATATGATTTTTATTGAGCTAATTGGTGACCACAATGGTGCAATAGTGCAACAGTGTAATCATGTATGCCTGAAATTAGATAGTGGGCAAGTGGGGTGGTCACCAGAAGCAAAGGCTTAGGTAGAGGTTACCCAGACCCACATCTTGATCAGTTTTAGACAACAAGATCACAACAGTAAAGAAACAAAGTTACAACTGCAACTCGCTTTCTCCCAGCCAGGTCTTTAGACAAACTCTACAACTTTGCCGACTGTGCTGGACTTCACCTGATTTTTGGGCTGAACGCCTTGCACCGGAACTCTGATAACTCCTGGAATGGATCCAGTGCTCTCACTTTACTCAAATACAGTGCTGGGAAGAAATACAACATCTCCTGGGAGCTTGGCAATGGTAAGTCTGATCACCCTAAAGGGCAAGGGAAGAGGTCATAACTGTATTTCAAGATTAGGACATGTTTTGCTATACTGTACACATTAAACACAGTCATAATTCAAGCATTTTGAAAGCGTACAAATATTTGTATTTCTGCTGTTTTATAAAGATAATTGAATTGCACTGCATACTGAATGTTGGGGCTGTGAAGACCATAGCAAACCAGCAGCAATAACCCAAATGAAAATATACGTGTTGTTTTTGGTCATTTCAAACAAGGGTTTCCACATATCCAGTTTTCACTCACACGGAAAAAAGTAATTTCCTCAAGGGCTGTGCAGGGTTTTAAAGTGCACAAGAAGTCATTAAAAAACTCTAAATTAATTGATTTATTTCCACTCTGTCATAAGTTTATTGTATATAAAATTTGGAATGCTCTACACTTGTACCTAATAGAGCTTCTGTACCAACTCTTTTGATGGTTTTGGAACTAAAAATGTCAACATCCATGTGACAAAAGAGGCTGTTTGTTCCAATACAAGGCTTCCTTACCCTCATTTTGAATGTCTTAGCTCATACATTTTCACAGTTCATATGACAATAATACAATCAAAAGAAAGCAATTTCTAAACATACAGTATAGCTTAAAGCTGAGGCCTTAATGGAGTTTGAGAGAGAAGGCAGATTTCAACACAAATCAGCAGTTTGTTTAACAGTGGCTTCTTTAACAGTCCTTATCAAACCATCCCTCATAGCCCCAGGTCCAGCTTCCTGTTAAGAAAACAGGGGCTGATCTTAGTAACACGTACAGTATATCAGTTTCTACACTTAATTTAACTGAGAGACTAGTGAAGTTTTTAAGGTAGGGGCACGGGTTAATTAATTTTAGGTAGCGAGACAGGATTTTATCACTTCAGACTGTAATCAGTGCACAATTGTTTTTTTGTTGTCAAGTTTGTATGGTATAGGACAGGTTCCTTACTCACTGAAGACCTTTTTTTCCAGATATAGGGGGTATAAAGTGATAGAAACGCTGCTCTTCTCCTTGCAGAGCCCAACAGTTACCGTTCCATGGTTTCACACACTCTGAACAGCAGCCAGCTTGCACAAGATTACTCCCACCTGCGGACTCTGCTGCAGTCTGTGCGGTATTACAGCCGTGCCAGTCTCTATGGGCCCAATATTGGACGGCCTCGTAAAAACGCCATTCTGCTACTGGATGGGTGAGTCTCCTCTGAGGATAGCTGTAAAAGAAGGCTTTTGCATGTGTGTGGTATTTCGTCTAGAATATACAAAACATTAGTGAGAACAGATTCAAGAAGATTAGATTCACACCAACACGCTCACACCAGGACCAGTTTCCCAAAAGCCAATTACCCTACCAGTATGTTTTGGACTTCTAAAAATTGAAAAATAAAATACATCCAGGTATTTTAAAATATCTCATATCTTAAAATATGAGGACCTATTACACAAAACACAAAAAATATTTATAGTTTATGCACATTTTGGAGTGAGTTTCAAATTCCAAAACACTGCCTCTAATGTTCACCACCAAATTGCTAACATTGAACCCTTCTAGCACTCTCAGATGTAGACACAGATCTCTACATGGGAAAATAAGAAACAAACAACTCCTTTCCCCAAATTTAAGTTCACTCGCTTTAGTACTGAATACCTGATTTTTTTTTAGGTTTTGCTTTGTGATCGAGGAATCCTAGTGGTGAAGATTGTTTGCAGTTCTGGAAATCTCTCACACTGTCTTTTCTTCTGTTTCTCTCTGCTATTCTTGTGTTATAAGTACAGTGTTGGTCACATGATCTTCACTGGTCAGATCCAAGAAATTCAAGACTCATAAAGTGTCCAACATCTGGTGTCTGCACTCATCTGAGGGCTGTTAATCTGACCAGAGTACCCCAAAATGCAAAGGCTTTGTCAACAGATCATATCCTCTTCTAGCTAGCATTTCAGAAAACACCAGGTGGAAGGGACAAAAAAATAACAAGCACTATTATTTTTCATCACAGTTACTGTGAAAAGGCATACTACAGATCACATAGCATCTTCAACTCAGTTTATCGCAATTTATAGTCAGGCAAAAGCTTTAAAGCATAACATAATAAACCCACTAATGCAGGCTATAGGATATATGGTAATGAGTGCTGTGTGTTTAGAAGCCTGTCTCTGGCAATCCAGGCACTGTCAAGGTCACTGCACAAGCAGTGTATGTGAAAAGACCCCTCAAAGGGAAACAGTACAAGGTAGCTCTTGCTCAGAGCTGCTCGCCAGACATGAGATGTTTATCTCACATCGAAAAGTCTATTAATCCTGGGAGGACTGCACCGCTTAAACACTCTGTCAGCTAAATAAAGTGTCGCTTGATTTATTATGTGGTAGAACAATATTCCACCTGTGTATGCAGAGATGGAGCATTTTTGCAAGTCCATCTCTTTTACCCCTGCCCTTATTGAATGGGGTCGACCAGCAGTTTTGTTTCATTTTGGGGACTCATTCCATTTAGGGCCTGCATGCAGGCCAATCTGATACAAAAGAGAGGGGAAGCTGGATGGTTAAAGTTGTGTACTTGTATGATAACCAAGCAAGTGAAGTTGATGCCGCTGTGGATGGAATGCAGGTCTTGGACACTTACAGGATAGGAAAAGAATGTGACTGAAAAACAAAAAAAGAGACCTCTTTCCTTCCATCACCTCGTAAAGTGCACCCACAACCTCCCCAGCTCTAGCTTTTATAGTTTTCGTGAACCATAGAATAGTAAATCGAAATACTTTACTGGTATTGTAATATGAGATTTTTTAAAGATGTGCCTTGTAACATACACATCAGGGTTTTAAATACTGATAATCCACAACCTGGTAGGCCTTTGGTTTTTGGTAAAGTTTTCAGTGACTTTACATAGGTTTAATTATTTCAATTTCTTTAATTGAAACAGATTGAAAGGCAGTGCTAAATGAGTCAAATGTACCACCCAATGTAAACATGTTACTAAATATGCAAAACTTTTGTTCTGAATATTAGATCTTACACTTTATGTTTATTTTGTTAAACCATTCATTAAATCATCAGAAAACTTGATTTGAGATTGATTAATGTTTTAGTTAGCATTGAAACAAAGTTCGAGCCCATCTAAATATACTGTATAGTATATACTGTATACAGTATACTTTCATAATCTGCTTTCATAATTTAAAAAGCAGTGGGAATACAGCATTAGTCTTCATTAGTCTTCACAGAGTGTACAACATCGTGAAACGGCCACTGAACTTGTCTCCAGTTTTATCCAGAGAAGCTGAAAAAATATTTTTGAGTCACTGAAACTGCAGCCAAGATAACATGCTAGGAAAAGTTATGCTGGGTGTATATTGGTGTCTCTTTTATATGCTGGAGGAATGGAATCCTCAGTGCCTTCCTTGGCTACAATGGCAGTGACTGGGTGGGGTATTGAACAAAAGGAAAAGGTAGATCTTTCCACTGGTTGGGAGGAGCTGCTTTGGTGCTGTATTGGAGGAATCCCTACTTCTTAAGTAACTGAGTTCACCAGACCAGCCTGCTTACCAGCTACTGCAATTTCTGTATACCAGAAATCATTCTTGTGCCCTTTGAACTCTTACTAATGCTTTAAAATCCATTTCATAATAGTGTAATCAAAACTGAATACAATATTCCAAATAAGATCTTGATAGTGCATTGAAAAGCTTCAGGTTGAACGTCCTGGGAACCCCATATGTGATGTGTTCTTTTTGGTCCAGATTCTGGCATATGAAAAATGTTCTGATTAGGTTAGTTGTCTTAAGCATAAGACCATCATATCAAGGCAATTCACAACAGTTGCTGATGCTCTTGCAGTGACGAGAGAATGCCACATAAACCTGATATTCACTGATCGCGGCCTCTACACAGGGACATGTCCGGGCAACCAAGCACATAAAAGCTGTAGTGCTGAAGAACGGAACTGTAGTATTGATTGGCAGGAGGGCGGACAGGCAGAGGCATTGATAGATGGTTCTAAAGGGAGGCAAAAAGAGCCCAGATCAGTGTTACAGGAAAGGATGAGCTGATCAACAGATGTTGAAGATTTTATGTTCATTAAAGGATTGTTCAGCTCCCATACTGTAAAAGCTGTTACAAGAACGTATTCAAAAGCTCTGTAACACCTTTAAAAGTTTTTTAAGGAAATGATTTAGTGTCATTGACTAAATAAGGTTAAAGTACTACAATTCAAGGATTCAAGGATAGAAACGTGTGCCTTTTCTCTAAATTTAGGATTTGCTTTACCTTATTATCGTGTACCAAATCTTTACTAACATAAAGCGTATTATCTGTTTTCAATGAACTGATTAGATTAAATATAATATTTTGATAAGAATGTACAGTATGTTGAGGGATTGCTTATGAAAGAGTTATTTGTTTTTAATAGAAGTTAATTAAGTATTATTAGGAAAACATGTTATTGAAATTAGGTTAATAAGGGGACATTTTTATACTGTTATTGTACTTAATAAAAGTTAACAAGTAATAGGTTATTTCGTGCTGAAAAGAGAAGAAAGAAAACACAACATTTTGGCCGCAGAGCCTTCTTCAGGTGTGAGCTTTGAAATCTGCTTCTTTAAGCAAATTGAATTAGCCCTGAGATTTAAGAGTCAGCACTTAACTTCTGCAGCACTGCCAAATGAAAAGAGAGCATTAAACTAAAGTCTCCTGTAATTAATGGGCATGCTTGGAGAAGGTGAGAAAAGCATTGATGCTTTAAGTACTGTAGATATCCCTTCCTTTGCTTGCAGGGAAAAGGTGGAGCACTATTGACTCTGTGTGTCCGTCACCTGTGGAGAAATGTCTTCATTATGCTTAGCTGCTATAGTCTGTGTGCATGTGCCGAAATGCTACAGGTGTGAGCTGGAGGATGTACCTGTAGCTATTTACAAGCATCCTGAGTTGTTGTCCATTCAAGCCCCCTCATTAATCACAGGTGCACTCTGTAATTAGTAATTACCTGTGTAGGGCCCTTATCTGGGGTCTTATCTCTTGCCGGGGCAAACCTCTGACAGGAAGAATTCCGCTTCAGCCTGGAAACCTGGGATAGCAGAGAGGCCAGCAAAGGGATTTCGCTCCAAACACAAAAAACCTGGAGAGCTCATGAGAAAACTAGAACACTCATTTGATGTACTGTACATGGCAACAAATAAGCTTCTTACAGATACAGACACTTTCAGTTTTCCCCATTTTTAATCATGTTCAACTCCCATTATTTTGCTTCCCAAATTAAGATTATTTCCTTTGGTATCATCGCAAATCTTTTTACATTTTGTCTCATTTGCAAATAATAATCAAATAAACACAGTATTTGTGGGGTAATAACAATTCCCAGTGGGCTATTTTGGTTTACAAAGTAAATCTTCCACCTACTCACAAAATTCTGGCTTTTATAAGCTCATTTATGTTTTTTTCCTAAATAATTTATGATTTATGAGCCACAAGTTCCTGCTATTGACAATTATATCATAGAGTACAAGGTTTAATAATACATACAGGCAATTTTAATTAACATAGCTTTAGGTTTCTTAAAATATCTGTATTTTCTTTGTTGCACAAATTGAAGTTCTTTCTTTCTAGAACACTTTCAAGAGACAGAATGACACCTGTTTCAGTGGCAAATTTTATACAAGCACCGGAGAATGCTTGACTGTTGGTATATATTGTATCTAGTAATTGCCAATGACCGTTGACTGTATATTTCTGAGGCCAGTTCAAGGAAGTCAATAATTAGGAATTGATGCTCCTTCTGTAGCAAATGAACATTCATAAATCTGTCATATACTCATGAGGGTTTCCTCTCACAGACATGTCCAGGCAAATAGAAAAGATCAAACCTATATGTTAGTGTAGTATTAACTACACTATTGATATTAAAAGTGAACAGTCAGCAGTTGGAACTGAAGCAAATAGGCCATGAACATTTCCTTAAAAGAAATCTGTAACACCGAATTTGTTGCACTAAAAAGCTAGGGGTATAATTATAAAAACTTGTTGCATATCTTAAATAATTGATAGATACTTTCAAGTAACATCTGCCCAAACTGTAGCTATGAATAAAATCTGCAATATCAATTTTTTCTACATAAACTGCTACAAGCCAGGAGTGTTTCCTCATGCAGATCTTAAAATTAGCTATTGCCTCGGTTGAAGAAGCCAACAGAAATTACTCACCCTCATCTCCCTCTACTTTCTTCTTATGGAAGGCTGTGGTTGTCTGTATAGAACCTAGCTTGACTGATGACCACAAGTGTTTTGATATGGATCTTCATCATATTCTGACGCCACCCCTTGCTGCTACCAGTCTCAGATCAGATGGTAATGATTAATAGCAGAGGATATGGGCTCTGAACTCCAGCATCAGCACAAATAGCGAAACAAAGAAGGAGAGAGAGAGAAAGTGCCATCAGGCATCAAGCTTGTTAAGAATGGTTGTTTCCTCCATAGAGGAAACAGACACTTCACCAGATGTCCACAAATATTTAGGTACAACCTGCATCCAGCAGTGTCTGCTTAAAAATATTGAGGTCTTCTGTCAGTGACTCTTGCTGAAACACTTTCTTACCAAATAAGGATCTTTCTGCTTTGACTGTGATTCCCAATCCATGCTCAAACACTCACCGGAGTTTACACAGAAGAAAAGATAGCTGTCTCTGTGGAAGACATGGGGTTATAAACATAAAGATCATAAGATGTTTTTTTTATGTCTGACTTGGGCTTCATACTAGGTGCCTTAGGAACCTGTAGGTTTGTATTCCTGCCCTAGACAAAATACAGCTTCTGTGGATGATTAACAATATTGCACAACATTATATATTGAATCAGCATGTCTTCAGTTTGCATAATTCAAGAATAAATAACAAATGTCTTGAAAATAACTTTGGTTCAATGTCTAGGTTGCATGTTGTTAAGGTTATATGTAATAAACTTCAAATGATTTTTCAAATTGTATCCAAACTAAATTTTCAATACACAGTGTGTTTTTATTATAATTGTTTATTTTTATAATTCACAGGTTTATGAAGAATGCAGGATCTGCAGTAGACGCAGTTACATGGCAACAGTAGGTATTCTGTCTTTCTATTTTTACCGTTTTCATACACAAAAGCAATTACAGTATATACAAGAAAATTATAAAAGTGTAAAGGGGCCTCTGATGTGAAAGTGTTTTCACTCTGATTTATTTCCCTGTGAAGTGCTTTTAAGCATTTCCTTTTTGATTTATAAACACTAATATAGTGTTTCTTGTCATATGAGCATAGATCTGAGATTTTCTAAATGGATTTAGCTGAGTCTAGGCCTTTCACAAAGCTTAAGAGAAGATATATCTCACAAAATGGTCCTCAGAGGTTCTCCTAAAAACATCAATAGCTTGTTTTTTAAAAAGTTTTGTTTAACCTGTGAAATCAGGCATTGAGATATTTACTGTAGTTCTTGAAGGTGTTGTCTGTGCTAAAGATGCCTGCACTGTTGTGCTGTTCAGATCTTTAAAAAATCCTCCAAACCACAGCTTATTTATTTTAATTCTCACAGAATAATGCTATTCACTAAACCCAACACACACACCTTGTTTCACTGTACAGCTGTGACCAACCATTCCACAACAGCTGTTTAAAACAATTTGGCAAAGAATCACTAAAAATCAATGAAAACAATTATTTAAAACACACCTGGCACCCATTTTATTGTTTAGTTTTCTCAACAGGAATATGAGTGTTAGGCCTTCTCTTCTCATTATAATGTGGTCTTCCATGTGTATCTCTGTCTGTGAAGGTCTATCAAAGTGATGCTTAAAGTGACCAAAAATGGAAATCTTCTATTTTTAAAGTTAAAGTCTTTTAAAGCATATTCAGATGGATCCCAGCTCTCAAAAAGCCACAACCTATATAAAAAAGTCTTAATCCTATGTACAGATTTGGTATAGTGTGCCCCTATGTATCATATGCAAATCTGACATGATAAATGCACAGTATTCTGCGTGCCCCGTGTTTAAATGAGCTCATAATTGCAAACACCTGTCTCCAAATATAACATTTAGATGCTCTTCTCAGGCTGCTGTAAGCATCTGACTGCTGTGCATAGCTGTCTGGGCCTCTAATTGGGGGTCTTTTCCTTTAATCTCATTACATTACATTTATTGGAAATGCAGTAAAATACGCAGTCGATTATAATGTGCCAAGAACTAAAGACCATAGCAAAAACAGCTGTTTCAGGAAATGGCTTCAGTCTGCCCCAAAACACTGTCTCTTCCAGACATGTAAGATTGTCTAAATATGCACTTCTTTCAGCTCTGCGTTGTTAAATGTTTGCCAGTCGATAATACGGACTGCCTGTTTTTGTGGTTTATCATACATGCTTTGCATTTATAAAACAGCTGCTTGCTGAAGCCAAATAGATGTTAAAACGTACTGAAGCATGTGTACAATAGATAGCAAAAGGAGGGAGGAGGCACTTTCTCAACCCTGAACAAGCAGGCCTCTGGGCAAGGCTGTGTCCAGATTTATTTATTTCAATCAGGATTATTACAAGAGGAAGGTGGAGGCAGCCTAGTTGTACACATGCTGTTCAGACCTGGAACTGCTGTTTCTATCTACATTACCTCTGCAGGTTTAAACTACACTTGTTTTTCACTGCCTGCTCCCTCTAGCTCCATCTCAGTTACAGAATCAGTTCAGTGTACCTCATTCAGGAAACTGCCTGTCATTGCCTGTGCTTTCCCTAATTCATGGTTAATCACAGTACACCAGACCTCCTTTACTGATGTCAGAATTATGCCTGATTTTTTCTTGAAAACCAGACTGCCTTGCTTTGCATTAAAATGTTTTGATCTTCCTGCAATGTATAAAGCTTCTTTTAGCCACGCAGGGGAATCTCATAGCAATATCATACTGGCTTTATTGTAGAATTGTGTCATTACTGCTTTTTCCTATCATAGAGACCATTGCAAATCTTTGAAAGTACTGCAATGTTAAAATGGTGGTGTCTTTGTTTTAGGAAAGAAGGGTGAAATACAGCAGACTCCACCTTAAGTTCTTTGGCTTTTAAGGAGTGAGGGATATATTTTGAAATGAGAGGTATGCATTATAGCTGTTCACGTGTATGACACATTCCTGGATAGATTAGAGGGTAGTCAAAGTGAGTTGAAGTAACTATTATCTGACTATCCTGTTGCATTTACCTGTGCTCATCAGCTAATCCCCTTTCATCAACTTCTGTCATATTTGTGTAACTAATGTGCATGAATCCTGCTGCAGGGAGGCTGGAACTATGTTGTTCCTTTAGTGTTAAATCATGTAGGAGGACAGTCAGAGCACAAACAAACCTTCCTTTGTGGCCCTACTCATTCTAGCAATCTTATCTTCACAAAGGAGTCTTGCAGATTAAAGGTCAATTCTTAGAAGATTGAACTTTCACCGCATTTGCACCTCGTCGAGTGCACTTCTTCTCAAGGGAATTGTTTCTGTTAATTTGTCTCAGTACAGCTGGGTATCTTCTTACTCTGCTGTTCAGTTGAGCAGGCATCAGACTGATACAGATTCTCTGGCACAGCCCAAGAATGACAGGGTTTTGTCTATGCAGAGCAGCTCAATACATGCTGTACAGTATGAGGGAATTGCAACTGGTTATTCAAGTTTCATTCAGTTTTAACAGGTCATTTAAAGTTACTACCACTAATTTATTTGACTGATGTTTTATCCATTTCTCTTTATCTTACTTTTGCACCCATTTATCCCACTACTTTTTTAACTGGAGCAATTTGAGTGAAGTACCTTTCTCAAGGCTACAACAGAAGCATCCCACCTGGAATTTGAACCCACAACCTTCCAGTTATGCATAGAGAACCTTAACAAATAAAGTTTGCTATCATACAACATGAGGAGATGCAGATTATTTAAAGTGTATCTTCAAAGCTAATAAAATTCTAAAAAGAAAGTTCACAACTACAACACCAAATAAAATTTGTGCAGCCTGCAATGCCCTGCTTTTCATTTTTTTTTTCATTTGGTTAAAATGTGGAATGTTCTTGTATAATGTAGACCTAATTACAACTCTCTCTAGGAAACATATAATACCATCTGTTTACAACATTCTTGCTGTTCAGTGCATTTCAGTAAATATAGTACCTGTTCCATTTAAAAGTCATATGGCCGTTTCCCTAAAAAGCTTAACAATGATCAACCATATCATGTGATTTAAAATCGTATGGTTTTGTGTGCCTTTTCACCTTGTGCAGCTTTGAGCTGGATTGTTTATACATGTGGAAATATTTGTCTCCATTAGTCAAGACTGGTTCAGCTGTGTGGTTTCAGCTCTGTTCACATCACTGACTCTGACTTCTGATGCAAGCCTCTAGCACATAGGTAGAAAACATGATGTTCCTTTCTTTTTACACTTTACAGGAATGACAATGATAATAACAATTGTTATCACAGTTTTGAATACATGTGTACACAGTTCTTTTAGAAATGTTATACTCAGTTAATTTACAATTTTCTCCTCTCAATAAGCTTTCTTTCCTAGCCAATGTCATCCCTGTAAACTGTATAAATTATATGAATGTCAGGGATTTCAAAACAGCCAAATATATCAAATAGATTAAACAAGAGCTAAACTACAGTCTACTAAAGACACATAATAATGGACTGTTTTTAAGTCTTTTTGGTAATTTAACTGTTGAACAACATCCACCCATCCTCTAGAATAGTAGATCAGATTTTTGAGTCAATTAAATAGTGTGAGCAGGGCTGTAAGTCTGAGGTTGAATGACCCACATTTATTTAATGCGAGTCACTAGTCTTAAAGTGAGCTTCCAAATTCTGCACAAGGAAACACAAACTTTAATCAAAATTAATAATTGATATTATAGTTTCTTGGCAAAATATCCATAAACCCTTTAAACTTTTAAATATGTTGAATTTCATTGGGAGATTTAGCAATTTGTCAATTTAAATATGGTTCTTCTAATACTGAAAGTAGAAAAATGTCTTTGAACAAACTTGAGTGGAAATTCATTGTACTAGTCTGCATGTTATAAAAAGTCATAACTTGAATAAGACAAGAATTACAGTTAATTTGAGTGCTTTCTGCAAACATTTTTTTAAAGTATTTTTGACTGCAGCTTGTGATACAGTACTGATGTTATGGCCAGTCCGAGTAATTTGCTTTCCATATGTCAACCTGGTGTTAATACAAACCTGATGTGAACAATTCTACATTGACAAAAGTTCTGCAGTGCTGACCCTAAACCTAACCCAGAGCAGGTTTCAGCTCCTCTAATAATTTTTCACATTTGTTTTTTTTTTCCTTTATTGTAGCAGGTAAGTCAATTGAGAACAAATTCTTATTACACTGCAGACCTGGAGACCCATTTGTCCTATTTATAAAGTGAAGTACCTTGCTCGAGGGTTCAACAGCAGCATCCCAGCTGGGATTTGAACCCATGACCCTGCAGTCCGGAACCCCTATACACTGCTCCTTGCTGTTACCTACCTAAATGTACTGACTTTTTACCCATACGATAATTTGCTTTTATATACACCTCAGAGGTGCTGGCAGGGAGCAGCATCTTAGATGACTGAAATGTGATTTTTCACAATAAAGGCTCTTTAAGAGTAATTAGGGAGTATGTACTAAATTGAAGCAGTGTTGAATTTGCCTTTGCAATTTGCAGGACCCCCGCCTTGTTCAGCTCTAAGAGAACAACAGGAGCCCTTGCCTATCTACACTTTTGCCTTTGAAATTTCAAGCTGCAGACTCATTAAACAAATTAATGCAGGGGTTGGCTCCAATTAAAAGGGGGTGTCACTTAGAGAGAAAACAAAACTCAAACCATATGGTAACATATTTTACCTTCACCTTAAATACAATTCAAGACCTCATGCTTCTAGACTTTACCTGGACATAAGAGACATACAGTACATATAAGTTCAAAGTAGTGTATGACTAGATCCCTTTCAATGTGGGTACTGATCTTTTATTTAGCAACTAATGTAATAAATTCTACAGCTCAATAGGTAGCCTGAATTATTCTTGAAAGCTTTCTCGTTAGCTGTGTTTCTTTAGCATCTTCGTGACATATCTGCAAGTTTAGCCTGTGATGACCAGTAAGGTACTCCTTGAAATTGTGATACTGAAACCTGTACTCCTCTTCAAACGTTTATCCTGCTTTAGTTTTTTATTTACATTAGGAATTGCTTTTCTATTAGTGAAATGTCTCTAGATAATGCTGGAAAACAAGTTAAAGAAGTAAATTTAAAAAGTAAAAGGCCTTCTTTTCTACTGTTAGGAATACACTGAAGGATTAGAGATTTGCTGTTGTTCGGAGATTCGCAGTTCTGTCACTTCAGTGACATGTGACAATAATTAATTGATAGCGGAGGTGCTTTAGTAATGTTTTAACAAATTTGGATTTGCGTCTAGTGACTGCTCAGGGCTAGTTCTAGTTACCATTTTTTCCATCTGTCTCCAAACCCTGACACCTAAATCTACATCAGGGAGTAAATCTGTCATTTAAATTTGTGTATTTTCAATTATATTATATATATATTATATTATAAATATAATTGATATTAATTTGTGTAATATCAATTATATTTTTGGGAATCTAGATATTTTATTTCACAGCTAGAACTTTCCAGATGTACTGTAGTTTCTGTTCCTTTTCGGCAAAGTACAGTTGAGTAATACAGTATGTGCCGCTAGTTGCTAATTTTTATAAGCTTTTGATGTCTATGTCCCACAGTTATTACATTGATGGGCGCGTGGCAAAGGTGGCTGATTTCATGAAGACCCGGCTGCTGGACACTCTGAGGGAGCAGATCACCAAGGTGCTGGAGGTGAGACTGCCTAACATTACACAGAAAGGAAGAAAGAAGTTTGTATATGCATGCTTCTATTATACACATCTAATGTCACTTATGTTAGTGAACCTGAAGTTTGTTGCAGGTAAATGGAGACATTTTATTAAATAAATACAGGTAGTTTTTATCCAGAACACAAGCTGGTTGTCTCTGGCAGCCTTGGTTTCCCAAAGCATTCTGGCTATATGTGTTGATGTCTCTTAATTGTGATTGTGTGTGTGCACATGCCCATTCTATCCAGGGCTTATTCCTGGCTTGCAACATTTTCTTCCAATCTGCTGCAAATTTATCAGGAATAAGTGACTTCCTGTTAATGGATGGTTGCTATACTAATTTCCATGGGTTAAAATCTGTACTTTGCAAGCTTCCTATCTGTAATTCATCCTCTGTGTTATAGTCTAATTCTAAACAGATGAGTTGACCTACAGATCTAGAAAGGTAAATCCTATTTTATTGGTGCCAATCCATGAATCTGAACTTGTTTTGTCCAAGTTAATTAGTAGATTAGCAGATCCAAAGTATGGATTCAATAAACTCCTCCCTGTTCTAATTAGTGCTGCAGTCCCATTAGTCATATCTTAATTGGCTTTCAGGAAGCTTCCTGCTAAACCTCCATAACAAGCTGTGCCTGGTCTGTGCCATGGGCAGGGAGCTGAGCGTTCAGAGTGGCACAGGGTTTATAAGCTTGCTTCACCACAGGAATAGTGCTGCTAGTCAGAAAGTATGTGGAAAGTCTAATGAGCAGCACAGGAAACCATGACAAAGAAATGATCAGAACTAGCTGTAATATAGTTTTCTAATTGCAGAACAAATGTTTAAAACAGTTTGTGGAGGGCCTGTTATCTTGGTTCCTGGAGGGCCTGAGCTCTGTTACTTAGTTGATCTAATTGTTTAATTAACAGCTTAATTATAATACTACTGACTAGGTTCCAAAGTGTTTTATACTGTAGGTAAGAGAGTTTTACAAGTATTCAACAGTGAGAGGCCTTAAGAAAAATCCCATACATGTCTAACAAAAAACAAAATAAAAAAGAAGAGATTTCTAGTCTTAAACCTTATGCTTGATAAATCTTGCCATAACACATATTTAAATTCTGAACAAATTCTCTTCCACAAACCTTGAGCACCAGTGATTAACAAATCAATGCCTATGATGTTAGATTGACACAGTGACCCCAATTCACACCCAGTGCTGCAATGAATCATTATCACATTATTCACTAATTGTAAGCACATTCACTGATCACTTTCCAAACTTTTTAGAAAAGGTTTTTCCAGGACAATTTTAGTTAGAGAGCTGTTGAAGGAAGGAGGTTCTATCAGAGGGCAGATCTGATGTGAAACACTTTGCCTTCCCTGTGCCTCTTTCCAGCACATGCATTTTCAAGGAAAAAAAGTCTCTTGGGAGAGTGGTAGTGTTTGACTGCCTAGCTTTACATTATTCATTGTTTTGTTTTATTCTTTGTAATTTTCATGCTCTGTGTCTGTATTGGAGAAGAAAAGCATGGGAGCTCTCCTTCTCAGTGTTAATTGCTTGCACCCATGACAATATCATGAGCATGGACAGAACTGGATTAACTGAGATTTACTCCACACGGTGAATGGAGTAAACACGTTTACTCTCAAACATCCTACAATATCATTAAATGCTTGAAAATCAAATAGCTATATAGCCTTTCTAGCATATGGTCAGTGAGGTCCAGTACTTATAACCCTTAAATAGCTAATTTTATACTACAGTACTTTGAGGGTCTCTGCTTTCCCATTAAGACTTATTATAAAAGTCCACATTTTGATTATTTAAAATTCCTAGAGATTATTTCTTATGGAAAATAAAAGGTCTGTTGCCAAACCTTTTTAAAAACATCTATTTTTGTTTCCTTCAAATGAATTCCCTGGTTACGAGTCCTATATCTACCTGTCTGCTTTCTTTGTGCCCCTTGTATACAGTACTGGAAAAGACTGAGTACTCCCAAAGATGTAACATCTAGCTACTGTATGCCCTTTAACTCGTAGGTGGTGAAGACACATGCCCCTGAAAAGAAGGTTTGGCTTGGTGGTGTGGGGCCAGCCTGGGCAGGGGGTACCAACAATCTGTCCGATACTTATGCAGCTGGCTTTCTGTAAGTGCACCTTTTCAACTGCTCACACCCTATTATAACCTCATAGAGCCTCTCAAAGTCTGTCTAGTCATCCTGTGCCTCCTTCTCCATCCTGTTTTTATCCATTATTTTCATACAACAAAGTGTTAAGGGTATGAAGTGTGTACAGGATGTCATGTGCTGTTTTACTTCTATAAGAAGAGATTCATATGGCCAACATAGCTGCTGATGTTTAACTTAACTTTTATTTTGTTTGACTAAGTCTACCCTTGACCTACAGTTACCCTGCAGACTGTTTTGTTTTTTCACTCTGGATGTCTGCTGGCTGGGTGTGTGGTTGGCATATTGTTTTACCTTGAAATTCCCTCCTTTGTGCAGGTGGCTAAACACTCTTGGCATGTCTGCAATGGAGGGTATTGACGTTGTCATCCGACACTCTTTCTTTGACTATGGATACAACCATCTGGTGGACCAGAATTTCAACCCCTTGCCCGTGAGTTTCTCCATGTGTTTAAATAGTTCAGTATCTGAACACTGCAGCAGTATCGGTCAAATTACTGAATTTAGAAATAGGGAGGAGTAACTTGGCTTCTTTAAATCTGAACCCAACACCAAATCTATCACCTCATTCTGAAACTGTCTTTCCACTGTATGTTTTAACAAGCATAGAAGACTTCCCCTCTGCCCCATAAGTGTTAGTCCTATAGAGCTCGCCATCGCCTGCCTATGTTTGTGCATTGACAGTGCATTTGACATTTATATTTATTGGGAAAAGGTACATATATATAGTGGAAATTAAATATTTTTCCAAAACTCTTAAGCCAATCTGATGTGTGCATTCAATTAAGGTATCAGAAAAATACTCTTTGGCTATGGCTTTGGCTAACTTCAGCTTACTTTACGTGCAAGTGCTTACATGAAAAATTCAAAAAGGAAGGTTAATACCTATTTTTGCAGATTACAGATACAGTAGGTAACTCACTATCATTGGTATCAGAACGGAAGAAATCTTGTAATTGCTGGGGTTTCTCTACAGTGAAAACATTTGTGATGGCAGCAGGACACTCAGGATTCCTGTACCATCAGTAAGAAAAAGAATGAATGACTGACATAGTGCTGGCCTGGACAGGTCTGGTCCATCTGCTGGTCTGGCACCTTGCATTTTTTCCCGTGGGAGCTATTAGCTGAAATGAAAGCTGTTTAATGGTGTTGAATGGAGGGGTACTCAGGAAAGCTGTAGTGAAACATTAGCTCTTTGTCGGCAGCCCAAGACAGCACCCCCTGCTCTCATGTGCATCCCCTGTGTGGAACAGTGAGCTGTTGAGAGATGTGCAACCTGAGCCTCCAGCACTCTGTGGGCAGTTAGTGCACAAACCCCAGTGTACTCTGCTGTGGCACTGTCCTGCTCCAAGTCTGCACTGTAGACACACACAGCCCTGGGCCAACCACAGGGCCTCCATGGCACCTTCACCATGCAAAGTAAGACAAATACATTGTGCTATCTGTTAGGGTGTTGTTATTTCTACACAGATTTAAATCTGTCAAATGTAGATAAAAAAAGTACTTTAAAACAACAGTATGAAAAAATTGACAAATCTGATTTTGGCTACTAGGTTGGTGCATGTGTATGTATTCTGTAAAAGCACAAAAATTACGTCTGATAACATGACTATCTGCAGGGCTACATATTCGGTTCCGAAGCAAAGTACTGTACTGTATATGTTCTCTTCAAAGTCTACATATATTTTGCTTGGGAACACATACAACAATTTGTTTAGACATTTTCCAGGACACTATCTTACTAAGACCCCAGTAGTGTTTCAATAGATAGTTTCATGAATGGAATTTATAAAAGACTTTCAGTGTCACAGACACAAATAAAACAGCTTTTTTTCTTTCTGCAGTCTAAGAGTGAGTATTGTGCTGCAGTTTGATGAAAATTACAGTTGCTGGACAAAAGTAGATGCATGACAATTTACTGAAGCATAAGCAGGTCTGGTTGAGATTATGAGAGTGTGGTAAAGTATCGTAAATACCTTAGCAAATGGTGATAAACCACAGAACGGTGAAAGAAAAATTACAGAACAAATTTGCCATGGATAACTTATGGGAATGACTTTAAAAATGAGGTTTTAATGTATAGCAGCCGCAGCCAGACACAGTTGGAATACACAGAGTTTAATAGCTTCAGTTTCACACAGACACCGTACAGACCAGTCAAATTCATTAGTTTTCGAAAGCCTTATCCAATTAACCATGATTGAGTCTTTGTTTATATATAACAACATTCAAAAACAAAGCAGTTTAAATCAAAGTATTTTGAAACCAGCAATTTTTTTTTGGTCTTGTTCCTCTTTGAGATTCTACGAACAATCGCCCCCTACTGGGATCACAATGCTTTTAACATGGCTGGGCGTCTGTGTGAACCGCCAGACTTCCCACTGCGAGAATTCACAACAGCCCCAACCTGTCAGCCTGCATAGAAATTTATATCCCAGCCCTTTCCCTTTAATCCCTCACGCAGGACAGCAATTGGACCAACTTGGGCTCTGCCCACGTGGGTACCTCACAGTGCAAACCCTTCCCCATCCACTTCCCCAGACTACACTTCTCTCCTCTTTTGTCTTGCTCTCCCTCTATCATTCTCATCCTCTATCTCCCTTCACTCCTTCATATTTAACCTACTTGCACTCCCTTTTCTGTTTTTCTCCCTCTCTAGGCCCTCTCCTACTCATTTCGAAACACAGAGAATAAGGTGTCACCTTCAATGTCAACATAAGGAGCAATTGTTTCCAGTCAGTCAAACAGTTTGAAATTCTTGGTTCAATTGATGTTTTTCTTCTCCATATTTTGTCTAACTGAAGAGTTCAAAATGTAAACTTGAGGTCAAATCAGTCAATAAGGCAACTCTATGACATTCCTAAAGTTATATATTGTAAGCAGATTGATTTTTAAGTTAACTAATGCACCTGATGTTTTCTCCTTTTTACCAATAAAACTTAATCCAGGTACACTTTGTATTATAAGATACATGTATCACTCTGATTTAAGATAATAAATCACAAATTTTTTGGAGGCATTAAAAAAACAATTTATCTCTGGTTCAGAGTTCAGGTTTCACCATTTTGAATATTAACATGACCTGTTTGTTTGCCAGAATCCAAGTTGTTTTACATGGATTATAGTATTCAGGATACTGTTTGGACTATTCTAGAGTGGAATATTCCATTCCTAAAATAACCACACTGTAGTAGAGCCTTCCAATTCAGAATTTTAAATAATTGTAGACTTGTTGAGAATTGGCTATTTTTTTTTAAAGCAGGGCATGTAAAAAGTTCTTCAAGATTTCAAAATCCATCCTGTGATGTTTAAGTATTGCTGGCAAGCCTTGGTCTGTTCTGTGCTATTAAAGACTGAGGCTTTCAACTAAGTGTGATGTGGAGCAGTAAACAGAACATTTGAAAGCGATTCTGTTTTCAGTTTGTTTGAGAAAAGTTTAGTTTTTGGAATTGAAAGGCTGAAAGGAGAAATACCACAAGATGTAATATTTGCAAACATTCTCTGATAAGTTTCAGTCCTGCAATGTAGTACAAAATTGTTTTTATCTCAGTATGTAGCTCAGAAAGTTAACAGAAAGTTAATATGCTGTATCCATTGATATCTTTGTCATTCTTCTCAAGGCTTTGTCTCCGTTCCAAGGTTTAAAGAAAACATTCCAATTGTTCCTATTTAACAGCTTTGAATTTTATGGAACATACATGTAGATCTTTAATTAAAGAGATCAAATTGTTCCCATTCTGCCTTCTCTCTTCATTTACCTCTAAATAATTAAATGGTTATATTCTTTAAAAGTCTGATATGACATTCTGCAAGGTACTGTAGGTTTCCATTTAAGTCCTACCTCTAAGAAGGTAAGTTGTAGTTATGTGAAAGTCAAAGTGTTATGGAATAAGTAAAACGTTTTTTTTGCTGTGGTTTGGAAAATGTATTGACGTCATTAATGCAATGTTTTTATCTGTATATTGCATTAAATCCATACTCTTCTCCATCCACTCAGATGAAAAATGTTGGTATTAAATAGTAATTCATAAAGCCTTTTGATTAAATAGTAACTCTGAGCCTCGGAGAGCTTACTTCTCTTTTCCTGCACAGCCTGATGCAGATATTGTCTAGTCTTCACCACACAGTCCTATCTTTCTTCTCTAAACCACTTAAAAATGAGTGCTTTTGTTGTGTCTTAGAAGCAATATTTCTAGGCTCTGTTTCAGTGTGTAAATATTGGTAGCACATTTTCACATTACTTCTATATATTCCCTAAGTTACAGAGGCCTGGATATCATAAATCTATATTCAACACAAGCAGCTTTTCAGTTTCCACTTTGATTTGCGTGGGCTGTCTTTATGAGACTCTGAAACTTATCAAGAGCTCCCGACCACAGAACTTCAAACAAAGGGCAGATTCTCTACCTTTTTTGCCTGCGTGCTCACTGTCTGACTAATTTCTCCCAGTCAGGAAAATAGTTTAGGTTTCCACAGGGGTTCAAATTCCATTCAAATATGCAAAGTAAAATGTTTGGGAGTTTTGCAGTTAGTGAATACACTGCCATCTTAAAATGATTTTGTACAATTTGCTACCTCCAAAAAAAGGTAAGCACTGTACTGGACTCTACAATTGTGGGTGCTGCTTCCTCCTACTGGTAAGAAAAAGTAGTGTCTCTAAACCTGGTTTATTAACCACTGTACATTGCATTACAATTTTAACAACATAACTAGCATGCACTATTAAGATGGAATATAAGCATCCTTTGCTGCAGAGAATTAATCTTTCAGAGATCATTTCTGAAATGAAAGAGAGAGCTCTTGTTGTTAAAGCTGCCAGAAGCATAATGGAACAGCATTAAGAGTAGTACTGAAGGAAATTTGATTTTTTATTTTTTTTATGATTTGTTATTCTCAGCTAACTCAGTTGTGAAATGCCATTCAAACACTAATATCTTACATTCTGAATGCCAGGTTGTTTATTGTCCTTTCATTGAATCCGGGTGTTCAGTCTAGGGTATTTTTAATGTGGCAGTAGCAGACCTAAGTAGACTGAGGAAGGCAGTGCCAACCCCCTGCCCTTTCTCACCTGCCTTCACATCTTCCAGCAGCTCTGCTGTTTGATTGAAGTCCTCAGCTGGCACGAAACAAGATACATCTGGAGCTCCATGCTCTCCAGATGCCATCAAAGACAGATGTTGCTCTGAGTTATCTCTGTTTTTTTGAATAGCTTTTAATTACTCACTCATTGCCACTGAAACCATTCCGGCCTCTCACCTACTGCATTTAGCTTTACTGAAAGGTAAAACGAGCTGTTTTAGACCCCTTCAAACTACTACATCCGCCTCAGGAAATGCACTTTCAGATTAATATAAATATTAAATGCCATTGCAGATCATAACAGAAATGCATAATTTTTTATGTCATTCTCCCTATCACCTGGTCACCTGGTCA